TCACAAAATTAAGTGGATACAGCATCGGAACAAGTTATATGAGAATTGACCATATCGATGACTTTCTGTCAAAGTATCGCAAGTAACATAACTCAAATTTCGGGAATTGAAAACATTATTGTCTTAAAGTCTGTTTTAAATTAAATATAGCCTAAAGGATTTATAATAAGTAAATAGCTATAATTAAAAGCTATTTACTTGTTATAAATCCTTTAGGCTATATTTAATTTAAAACAGACTTTAAGACAATAATGTTTTCAATTCCCGAAATTTGAGTTATGTTGCTTGCGATACTTTGGCAGAAAGTCATCGATATGTATCATTTTCCTAATTTTTGGGGGAGTTTTAACCCTGGATCCGCCATTGGATACCCCTCTAAAAATAACAACTTGTTCTTTGTATATACATATGTATACTTTTTAAATTGTAAATTTTATTAAACAATTTAACAAAATAAAATGTAATAAACAATGAAATAGTCTTTTATTTTTTTTAATATGATTATATATTTTAAAACAACAAAACATAATTTATTTCATTCCATTAAAACCTATTTTTTTAAATTTAATTGTGATTTTTTTTTATTTTAAAACCTTAATTGTATATACATATGTATACTTTTTAAATTGTAAATTTTATTAAACAATTTAACAAAATAAAATGTAATAAACAATGAAATAGTCTTTTATTTTTTTTAATATGATTATATATTTTAAAACAACAAAACATAATTTATTTCATTCCATTAAAACCTATTTTTTTAAATTTAATTGTGATTTTTTTTTATTTTAAAACCTTAATTTTAACCTATTTTTTTAAATTTAATTGTGATTTTTTTTTATTTTAAAACCTATTTTTTTAAATTTAATTGTGATTTTTTTTTATTTTAAAACCTTAATTTTAACACTAAAAATATAAAACAATCTTATTTGTTTTATGTGTAATAGAATGCATATAATATTAAAATTGTAACACCAAGGTAGTTGGAATGTGATTAAATTAAATAATCTTAAAATGTTATGTGAAATAATATTTTTACCTATGTCAGACCACAAGCTGAAATGTAAATTTAAATTTTAAGCTATTTTAATAAATTAATAATATTTATATAATATTTTGTTTAATGGATTATTAAATATTTAATTTATATTATTAATATATATATATATATTAATATAATATATATATATATAAATATTTTAATTTATATTATTAATATTTAATGAATTAAAAATTTTAAATTCATACATATCCTAACCACCATTTAAATTTAAATATTTAATAATAATTGAATTATTTTAAATATATTAAAAGATTCTTAAATTCGTAAAAACCTTTAACCCGCAAATGCATTTAAATTCTTACTCACCTGTGCCGTCATTGCGCGGAGATTTAAATTTATCCCGCGAATGCATTTAAATTTTTACTCACCAGTGACGTCATGCGCCAAGCCGGACGAAATTGAGACCGCTATGTATCATATCTTGTTTTCTTTGTATCATGAGACTAAATGATTTAGTGTCAAGCAAACTGCGTAAGAGTGTAGATGCACATTTTAATTTTCTTTTTAAATATTTTATAGGTACCCGAATCCTAAAAATAAAATTTTTTGATTTTTTCCTTGAGAACTAGGGCAACAACAAAAATAGTATTCTTAATAAAAAAGATTTCTCAAATAAAAAATAATTCTGAATAAAAATAACTAGGTATAAATAAAAATAAAACTCTAAATAAAAATAAAACTCTAAAAATAAATAATAAAAATAAATAAACTCAAAAATTAAATTAAATGTTCGAACAAGCCCCCATAGGCAGCCAAACAATAGCCTAACCTATTATAAAAATTCCCACGCACATTTGCTAGGACTTCTGGACTAATATCCCCCAACAAATTAGTTATGCGGATTCCTAAATCATTGAGGTTATTAGCCCGATCTTCCTGGAAAACGTACAGACGTACGGACTTGAGGTACCCCCACAAAAAAAAATCACACGGCGCCAAGTCCGGTGATCTAGCTGGCCAGAGAATTCCTCCTCGACCCATAATAAGACGAGGTCCAAAAGTGTCGGAAAGGAATTCCCGAACAGCCATCGTATTATGTGCGGGGCAACCGTCCTGCTGAAACCATACGTTTTCGATGTTAACTCCGTCTAAATTTTGAAGCGCGGGAACTATTTGGTCTCTTAAGAGATTTAAATACCTAGCGCCATTTAAATTACCATTTATAAAAAATGGGCCAATTATTCGGTCGCCCAAAATACCCGCCCAGACATTAAGTTTTTGGGGATACTGTGTCCGAGCTGCATAAATCCTACGAGGATTTTCTCGCGCCCACATTCGAACATTCTGCGAATTGTGCCTGCCATGGAGAGTAAATGTCGACTCGTCAGTAAATAAAATATTACCGATAAAATTTGGGTCGGCATTTGCTCTCTCCATAACAACCTCGCAAAATTCCATGCGGCGGAATGCATCGGCAGGGAATTGCTCGTTTCCCCGTCGCAGCTTAAATGGACGATATCCATGGCGTCTTAGCACATTTCGTGCCGTGGAAGCTGAAATATCAAACTCCCTAGCCACCGTACTTAATGCCTGGGTTGGGTTTTCTTCAATTGACGCGCAAATTAAAGTATCCCGCGCTTCTCTATTTAGATTTTCACGGGGAGGACGTTCCCGTCGGAGCTGCATCGGAACTACACAACCGTGCGTGAGAAAATTATTAACGGTTCGTCGAATTGTTTCTCTGTTTGGTCTGGCCTCGAACATTCCCGCAAATAATCTTTGAATTTCTCGTTCAGAATTACCAGCAAAATGCCAGATTAAAATCTGAACTTTTTGTTCCAACGTGTACATTTTTTAATTAAATAATCTTTTTCACTAAAATTACTACCTCTTGCTCGCACCACTGCAGTTCTCGTTCTGATATCCTCGACGAGGATTCCTCGTGTCAAGCACGCTGCGAGGTGCGCGATGGGTATGCGTTGTCGTAGCCTGCCGGCTGGCCAATCAAATTCTATTTGGCGTTCTATCCTTGTTCTTTTCACGCGGGTATTGAACAGCCGTCCTTTCCAGTGCGGTCGGAGTTGATATTGCAAGCACTGTATATGCAAATATTCATCTGACCATTGTTCCAAACAATTGTTCTAAAAATAACAACACATGTGCACATGTACTTCTGACGCAATATCGATTTTCTAAGCTGACCAATTAGATCACAGTTGACCGTCATGTGATCGATGCGATCACATGAAGCGTTTTCTAGACGTACCCAGTGTTGCCGTTTGCAGGTATTTTACTCATGAATCGGGTATTTTCGTCATGTTTGCGGCTAAAATTTTGATTTTTGATGTGTTTTCTTTTACAATACCCAAATATATCTCTGAATAATTCCAGATATTTATTGTAATCGCTATTTCTCTGCTAAAAGTCTTAATAAATCTTATTTACCCTTCCAGAAGACACTAAATCTTGCTATTAGGCTGACTTATTAAGACTTATTCTGAGTTTTTTCGACTTAATATGTCTTATTCTGACTTTTTCGACGTAATAAGTCTTATTCAGAGTTTTTAAGAGAAATTAAGACTTTTAAAACTCCTATTTTTACTTATTAAAACTTTTTCCGAGAAAAGTTCCTACAAGGGGTTACTTTACTTTTGTCCGATAGTGTATATTCTTTAGTAAACATATGCTTATCTATAAAAGAGAATATACAAACAAACAACTAATTTTATATAATGTTTTACTAAAAGCCTTTTTGTTAACTAAATAAACATTTTGTTTTAAAAATAATATTAATAATTTTTTTAAATTTCATATTAATTAAATTTAATTGCGTTTCCTAATTGAATGTTTACTTAATGTACAAAATTAAATTTCACGATTTATCTATGTACCTACAAGGATTGTACATGAATTAGTTAAATCAAAGGACTGTATTTGCTCATTAAATTAATTTTAAGATTTAAAAGTGAAACGTAAACATGAACATTTCCTTAACCCCTTCAGACCTGAATTAAATTTAACGATAAAAAATTTTTTTGCTTTAAAAAATTCTTAGAGGTCTAAATAACCAAAAAAATTTTTCTCATTTTATTTATCAAAAAAAAAAAAAACGTACATGTACATTAGACTGGTTCAAAAAAATCGAATATTTTTTTTCTTTAAAGCCCGCATTAAAATATCTTCCTTGTAGTGAAAAAAGAAGCCTGTAAAAATTGTAGCTCTTAATATTAATATTTAGAGGTCGCTCATCGTGAATTTCTATTTTACGTTTAAATAACACAGGAACTCTTTTTTCTTAACTTTGAAATTTTATAACTCGTTTTTGAGTGAACATATTGGAATGAACTCTATATATTTTTGAAGAAAATTGAACGTTCTACAAAAAATGTTTCTTATATCGTAATTTTTTCGTAAATTCACTCCTTTAATAGTTATTCAAGGTTGAAATTAGACATAATAAATGTAACGTTTAAATAACACAGGAATTTTTTTTTACTTTTAATTTTATAACTTTTTTTTGGAATAAGCGATAATTTTTTGTAAAGAAACATAAAAAAAATTAAAAAAAGTTCACAAAAATCTGGAAGCGCCCTAGAGCAGCGGAATAGTTCGCTAGTCTTTTTTTAAAGCTTGTCTTGTAACCTGCTTAGCGTGAATTGTCTATACTCAAGTACACCAAGTTTAACACGTGGTACAGTAAGAACTTATAACTATTAGGTAATTATTTTTTATAATATTACTATTTATTAAAATATAATTACTAAAGTTAAGTACATGTATATGTACGCCAGGTCTAAAGGGGATAATAAAAAATGTAATCTAAACTTATAAAACTAAAATCAAAAGAGTAGGAAAGGATAGCTAAAAGTAAAGTGGGCTATAGATATCATCAATCAAAACTTGCAAAACTTGTTAACAAATTTAATTCGTGTAGTTGTAACAAAGTGGATCATTAGGTGTAAGTCATGTTTGGAATTCTTTTAAATTCTATGCTCACCTATTCTGAATTCGTCTGGAACGAATCCCAGCGGGCAGGGATGGCACTTCTCGCCCTCCTTTACCAATATCTCACCCGCAGGACATGGCACGCATACCCAACAACATCTTTTGTCCTTGCCGCCTTGTTGAACATTCTAAAAAAATTCGATAAAGCAATAATAATTTTTAAAGGGTAAAGAAATTGTTTTGGTGGAAAAACATAAATGGGGTATTGTTTATTTTTCCTAGGAGCCTTGTAAGAATGAAACAAAGTGGTCAAATGGACAAGGGTTGGAAAATTGAATTTTCTTGGTCCTCGCTTGAGGCTTATAGAAAGTTATTGCTCTATTTTTTCATACTTTATTCTGCTATTGTTTAAGTGGGCAATTTGTCACATTAGCAGTTTTTTCGTGTTGCCCCTAACCTGTAACAAGTTGTCGCCCACTTAATGTATACATACATCAGAGAACTAATTCAAATATTCATTAAATACATTAAAACTAAAATATTTAATACTTATTTAATTATAATAGTATATTATGTGACAAGTTTGATAAACGCAATTTTAGACACGAATTTAATTTAGGCACGAGCGAGCTTGCGAGCGAGTGAGTGCTTAAATAAAATAGTGTCCATAAAAGTTTATAAACGAGTTGCATTCCACGGCAAATACTTATTATTATTATTATTTTTTTTTATTTGATTGTTTCGACCTTTACTTGATGAAACTCCATATTATTATTATTATGTAGATATAAAAACAAATATGTTTTGAAAGTTTCACGTGTTTTATTTACTTTTGACAATTGTTTCGTCACACAGTGACTTCTTCAGAATGTATTTATAACTTATTATTAAGTGAGTTTATATAACACAATGTTTTATGGTACAAAAATTTTTTGGTCTACCTGAATAATATTTGCTTAATACATTGAAAGAGAGTAATAATGGAAAAACCTAATTTATTGCAGTACAGTAAATAAATAAATAAATAAATAACGTATTTATTAATCCTTATGTAAATACATACTATGTAAGGTTACAACAAAGATTAAATGGCCAATGACCGAGGTCCTTCAGCCAAATGCGCTTAATTTTAAATTGATAATATATAATAATAATGACAATGGTAATGTTTTTTAATTTTAGTATAGAATGAAAAAAAAAAGAAAAAAAAAAGTTAGTCTAAAATGGATTTTGCAGTACAGTATTTTCCTGAATAATTAAAATAAATTTAATAGAGGTGAATTATTGGTTTCGATTATTACCTAAAGATGATTTAAATTAAATATTTGTATAGATCGACATCTAAAAAACAATAGAGTAACCAACTTGGGAATCTCAAATGTCAAATTTTTATCTGTAAATCGAAATGTATCCCTTGAAAATGGACTAATAACCGTTTAATCCGATATAGAAGCAGTTTTTCACAGGGAAAGTCAAGAAAATGTGTTATTGGCACTCTACGGTGGAGTCTCCACCCAAAATTAAGTAAATTTACTGCCGGCGAAATTGAAAGTTCAGTACAATGTTCATATAAACTTTTCAAATATTGGGGTTGAGAAACTATTTAATACTTTTGTATAAAAATAATACTTAAAATAATTTTTATCTCTTTAGGGCGGGTCCCTCTCTCCCGTCTTGTCACAAGGCTGTGAAGAGCGGTCTCCGTCGACATGGATGTCCTGTATGCGTATTGATTAGGATGCATGGGCATTATTTTTAGTGCCCTGTCCCTAATAAATATATCCACCAGTTTCTTCATTGTTTTTAAAAGAAACGAGGATAGACCGATGGGTCTATAATCCTTTACCGTCTCGTAGTTATAACGTCCTGGCTTGGGGATGAACACCACTCGAACCTTTCGCCAGGATTGTGACACGTAGCCCCGTGCAAGGCAGACTCTGAAGAGGCGCATTAAGTGGTTAAGGGGTCAGTGGTTCTGCCCCTTTTGTAAATTATTTAATTTTAATATAAAATGGTGCCTATTACAATCCAGGATAATTAGGGCTACAATATAAAATATTAAAATTTACATTCTTCCTTATATGCAATACTTTTTAACAGTAAAAATACTGTTAAATTAACATAACATAATGTTGTCCATATACTACCCGGACAACATTCGTGATATTCATACGAACATCATGTCGTGATTTTCACAAATTTTATTCATACTGATATCATACGGAAGTCACCGCGTGATAAATGAAAATCATACAAACATCAAGTCGTGATTTTCACAAATTTTATTCATACGTACATCATCCGGATGTCACTGCGTGAGAAATGAAAATCATGTCGTGATTTTTTATGCCATCGCTGTTTGCGATTGACCGATGGCACAAAAAATCATGCTGTGATTTTTTATGCCAACGGTGTTGGGATAATCATTTTTGCGCCACGTTCGTACACTAAGAGAAAAATTATGTTGAAACAACAGTTTTTGCGGTTAAATACATTTAATATTTTTTTGGATTTAAATTAACTATATATAGTTAATTTAAATCCAAGAAAATATTGAATCTTAAACTGTTGATTCAATTGTTAACATACTTTTTCTTTCAATGTACGAATGCGTCGCAAAAATAAATATCCAAACACCGATGGCATAAAAAATCATGTCGTGATTTTTTATGCCATCGGTGTTTGGATATTTATTTTTCCGTCAAATTCGTACATTGAGAGAAAAAGTATATCTACCTATATATATTTTGAATCAACAGTTTTTGTGGTTAAATACATTCAATATTTTTTGCGTTTACTTCCGTATGATATCAGTAGGAATAAAATTTGTAAAAATCACGAAATGATGTTCGTATGGGATAGTAACTACGTTTTATAAATTACAACGGTGTAATGTGAATAACAAACTAGGTTTTAAATTCGCAGTTCGCAGGGCTCATAAGCATGCGTAAATTTTGCAAATATCACACCGTGAGTTCTACATGATATCACTGTGATGAAGCATGTAAGCATGTGTATGAACTCAGGATATCACAGCATGATAAAAAAATCACGTTGTGATATCATCATGACTTCACCAGGAAATCCCGATTGTTGTCCGGGTAATTAGAAAATATAGTTAATTATAATAATAATAATAGTGTAATTGTATTTACAGTAAATCTTACTATATATTTTTTCCGTGTAATATTTGCAAAATACAGGGTGTCCCAGAATTAAATATAATTTTATTACATAATAGTTTTATCAAAATTAAAATTATTTTACACAATGCTGACATAGGTCGTTTAAGACAAACTTTACCTACATACAATGTAGATTCTTAATAGCCCAAAAGTTATACGAGGTGTGACAATTAAGTAATGAGACTGATTCCATAAAAACCGTATATTTAAAAATTATTCTACAACTCTGCCATCCCATTCAAAGTAGTCCCCTTGGGCAGCTATACAACGATTCCAGCGCTTTTTCCACGCTTCGTAACATTTCTGGAACGCTTCGACTGGGATGTCCCCGAGTACCCTCGTCACGGCCGCTTGGACGTCCGTAATCGACTCAAAATGGGTTCCTTTGACCACCGATTTTGTTCTAAGGTACAAAAAAAAGTCACAGGATGGCATATCGGGCGAATAAGGAGGCTGTTGTAACACGGTGATCCCTTTAGAGGCCAAATACTGGGACATGCTGAGGGCGGTGTGGCACGGCGCGTTGTCGAGATAAAGGATCCAGTTACGAGTGATGTCTGGGCGCATCCTGTTGACTCGTTTTCGCAATCTTTCGAGTACTTGGCGATAGTAGACTTGATTTACGGTTTGCGTACGTTTCTGAAGCTGTTTCGCCCAATCTGGCGCAAAATTTTATCGCGACGAGTTGCAACAGATTTCAATAGATGTATATAGAGTATTGCTCTATAATAGTCCTTTGGGGATAATAGAGCCTCTAGTGATGGTTATGATTAGTCAACATGGTTCAAACAACAATCCACTAATTATTCTCGAAATCCTCTCGTTAAAAGTAAACAAGCGGTTCTTCACTAATCAATTGACTTAAACAAGAAAAAGCGATATAAAGTAAAGGGGTCCAAAGACAGGTAGCTTTATTGTGTGTATTGAGATACCCGAGTACACGGATACGGAGCTCAAATTATAGAAGTAGTTTTTTAATCGAAATAAAATCGCTTAAGCGAAAATTTTTTGGTTCAAATTGCAAAATATTATGGCTTCATTTATCTAGTTTATTGTATTAAATAAAAATTGACAAAATGAAACTAAAATTTATATTAAAGATGAAAATAAAATAAAAAATAAATCTCGAAAATGAATCAACCGACTTTAAAAACTAATACACCATAATGTAGGGATTTAAAAGGAATGACTTGACCTCTCTTCCGTTAAAAAAATTTTGACATGCGTGGTTGGAAAGTTTCCACCCCGGTTTTCTCAGGTGTTAAGTAAAAAAAAATTGAAAAACGCTTGCAAACATCTATTTTTAATTTTAGGGGGACAATTTATTTTTATATTTTTAAGCCCACATCAACCTCCCATTTTTTAAGGGAAGAGGATACCTTTTAAATCCCTACATTATGGTGTATTAGTTTTAAAGTCGGTTGGTTCCTTTCCAGATATTTAAAACAAACTTTATTTTTGAATTTATTTTCATCCTAAATATAAATTTTGACACCCGCGTTTATTTTGATTTTAATTTTGTCAATTTTTATTTGATTACGTTTTTAATACAATCAAGTTGATAAATGAAATCATAATATTTTGTAGCACTTTGAACAAAAAAAAACGATTTTATTTCGTTAAAAATAGTTTTTTAAGGGACTTTATAAATGTATAAAGTTTTTTTTTATTTAAAGTAGTTCTCATAGCTACCAAACCAAAGTATTTGATTAAATAAATATATATACGAATTTGAATGTTAACAAATTTGCATATCGAAAAAACGTTTTTTCACAATATTTCGAAAACAAAGGCTAATTGAGCAAAATGATGGTCATTTTTGGAATCAGCCCTGAAAAAGTTGTTGGCTCCCCTGTGGCAAACAAAAAATTTTATTTTGTCGACCAGTGTAATTAATCAAATGTTGAACCTTAAGCTAATATAAAAATGTACATTAATATGGACATTTCATAAATTAAATTATAAAGTTTGTTGGGCATGTTTATTAATCTAATTTTAATAAAGATATAAATTATATCTATTGTCATTATTGGCGGATATGCATTTAGTTATGGAAAGGGGGTTTAATTTTTTATGATATTATTTTTTTACATCTAAAGACCAATAAATTATTTATTCTGTTTTTATTGATTCTGATAAAAGTATATATGACCGATCAATTTCTTGCACTACTTCTATAATTTGAGCTCCGTATCCATGTACTCGGGTATCTCAATTCACACAATAAAGCTACCTGTTTTTCGACCCTTTTACTTTAAATCGCTTTTTCTTGTTGAAGTCAATTGATTAGTGAAGAACTGCTTATTTACATTTAGTGACTTCCTACAGGAAAAAAAATGAATGAAGTCCTTCGAGGATAATTAGTGGATTCCTGTTTGAGCCATGTTGACTAATCATAACCATCACTAGAGGCTCTATTATCCCCGAAGGACTATTATAGAGCAATACCAAAAAATGACGAATTATGGATCTGTTAAAAACTGTTGCTTCTCCAAACATTAATGGTCAAAGCCTCAGAAGGTCAACACAGCCAAACTATAACTTTTGGCCCAAAAGTTTTGGGCTATTAAGAATCTACATTGTAGATGTAGGTAAAGTTTTTCCTAAACAATTATGACCTATGCCAGCATTGTGTAAAATATTTTTAATTTTGATAAAACTATTATGTAATATAAATTGTATTTAATTCTGGGACACCCTGTATTTTGCAAATACTACGTGACCTCATATCCGTTGCTGAATGCGTTCTCAATTATTGATGCTTAATATGAACTCACCCGCAACTCTGCATGTCAAGAGACTAATGTGTGGTATGCATGCTGGTCGATTGCAATTAAGAAAATGAATAAGATATTGTAAATTATTTTATATTCGAGTAAAATGTTCTTTAAATGTAGTAAAAGGTTTAAAAACTAAGGGAAACAGATTATCGTTTTACTATTCATGGATATGCATATAAAACTAAAACCCAATTAAACAATCTAAAGCTTGACGAAAATTTGCTTTACGTTACAGACGATTCCAATTGTTGTAAACGTCTTGGATGTGAATGAATATTTATAAAATATTTAAACATAGTTGAGATATAAATTATAACAATAAGAAATTAGATTTACTAAACACATTTAACAATCACAAAAAATATCCACATATTAAAAATGGCATCCATTCATGAGTATAATGAGAAATTAATATTTTTTTCTACGATCACTATGTAAAAGTCACATTTCATAATGGCATCGTTGCTAAGAAAATAAATCTTTTCATTGGCAAGGCAAAACACGAATGTAAAGTGACATTTCTGTGTGAAAAGTGACAGGTCTGTGTGAAAAAAAATTGACAGCATCGTCTAACATTCGTTTCAAAATTTGTTTTGTATTTGTATATGTATGTCTAAAATACCATTTAGAACACAATAAATTGTTTTTGTATATTTAAATTAAGAAGGTAAGTTTATTGATTTTAAGTAACTTATACTTTAAAAATTAAAAGAATAAGATGAAAGTAATTTTAACAGCTGTCAAGCACGTTTTTAGGTTATTTTCGTTTGTATTTGAATATAATTAAAAAGAAGGGGCGTAGAAAAAACATTGTGTTTCACTTGTGAGAAAAGCTTTCTTCAAGCTCGTGTTAATCCACACTCGGCCTAACGGCCTCGTGAGCAATTTAAACACTCGCATGAATAATTCGCTTTTCAACACTTGTAAAACAAATAGCTATTTTACAAATTTACCTTATTAGTTTTTATTTATTTTTCCTAACTGAAGGTATCGTCTTCCTATTTGTGACAAATTTATAGATGAGCACATAAAATACCATAAATTTAGGAAAAAGTATTGCTTGTAACAAACTTTGTTTTGGTAAGAGTAAATATAAACTTACAGATCACTTTAGAATAAACTCATGTACTTAACCTATAATATAACATATATATATACAGAGACCTGCATAAAAAACGGCCATTGCTGTAGCATCGTTATTCCTTATCCGATTTTTAAAATTCAAAAACCAGTTTAAATGGTATGATGTCTTCTATGATTCGACGATTAAAAATATTTTTTTTATTATGATGCTTGTGAGGACTGATAGTCAACTTTTATTTTTCAAATGACAACTATATTTTTTTATTATTTTTTCGCATTTCTTATGCTTCCCTGAGCATAACGGTATATCAATATCATAATTTTAATTATAAAACACGAAGAAAACAAATAAAACTGCGAAAATTTTTACATATCGTAGTAGCATCAGGACACCCACAAAATGCTTCCAATTTAATAAATATGCGTATCCATGGTTACGGCTTTTTTCTCTATGAACGTCAGATTTATTTTGAATGTTTTCAAAATTCAAGAGAAAGATGTCGGCTTTGTTTGAACAGAAGATATAAAATTTATTATGATTATTATACTATATTATGTATTACTTTGGTTTTGTTTCAGTATAAAATTAAAAAAATCTGTTTGTTTTATTGATGCTGCTTGGCATTTTTATTTTTATAAAAGTCATAACCATGGATACGCATATTATTAAATTGGAAGTATTTTGTGGGTGTCCTGATGCTACTGCGATTTGTAAAAATTTTCGCAGTTTTATTTTTTTTCTTCGTGTTTTATAATTAAAATTATGATATTAATATACCGTTATGCTCAGAAAAGCATAAGAACTGCGAAAAAATAATAAAAAAATATAGTTGTCATTTGAAAAATAAAAGTTGACTATCAGTGCTCACTAGCATTATAATAAAAAAAATATTTTTAACCGTCGAATCATAGAAGACATCATACCATTCAAACTGGTTTTTGAATTTTGAAAATCGGATAAGGAATAACGATGCTACAGCAATGGCCGTTTTTTATGCAGTTCTCTGTATATATATATATATATATATATATATATATGTCAAACGTCAAACCCAACAAAGTATCGCAAACTCGATAATTTCAATGTAAGTTTAGAATTATTAAATGCTTGAAAAAAATATTAGTATAGACCACAGCGCATCTGCAAAATTTTTTCATTTTATCTATAAACTGCCGCGGCAGTTTGGCATGCTGTATCGTATTTACTTTATATTTGGGTGATTAGATGAATAAATGCAAATCAAACGGCCGTAAACCCTAAGCTTGAGTTTCAAAAAGTTAGTCTAGATTATTATCTATCTTAAAACATCAACTTAGATTGTATCTTGTAGACCCTTCACAAAATGCTCCTTCTATTCCAAACACTGCCGTTTTCGTTAGTTAAGAAATATCTATACAAGCAAATAAAATCAAAGCAAAGGGAGTAGACAAAACACTTAGTCGAAATGTAAAATCTGCAGCACTTACTTTGTAGTGTCCTTTCGGGCATTCCTCTGAGCACACGGATCGCGGCCTCCTATTAACGCCCTGTTGCCTTCTTCCGAACTGCACCTTCTGGGAATTGTTCCAGAGCAAGCTGCGATTATTCCAACTGCCGACCTGGACGTAGTCGAACGAACCGTCCTCCAAACGTTGAAAGTTCATGATGTCGTAGCGGCCCGGGGGATCACCGTTCTCGTCGAACTCTATTATTTCCTCCTCGTACTCGAACGACACGTTCATTAGGTAATTCTGCGAAATGAGATCATTGTTCGCGGTTAGTCGAATAAAGGATAATAGTTTAATATGCACTTTTATACCTCACAGTCTTCAAATTTTAAATAAAAGCCGTCGGGCAAATTGTGCCATTGTTTAATTAACAATTACAAATTAGATTAAAGATTTTGTTAGTTTTATCTAAAATTGTGTTTAGAAAAATATTATAAACCAAAAAAATTTAACTACCACAAAATTTTAATATAAAAACAAAGAATAAATATTTTAAAGTGTAATATGCAAAACAAACTACTATATACATGTTAATTTACTTAATTGAAGGGACACTGTGCTCGAATCGGAAACTTTTTTTTTCTAACAAGCAGGGCACCCAGGGGGATTACCTAATTCAAATACGCTAAATCCAATGGTACTAGTGGTGTTTTAGGTTAGGTCTTGTTTTCGAGATATTTTAGATTTAAATTGTGGATCCAAGCCTCACAAAAGAACATTATTTTTCTCATTTTAAAACCATTTACAGATACATATTAAAAAAAAAAAATTTTGAAAAAAAATAATTTGGTCGATTTTTTATGATTTTTTTCTCAAAAAATATACAGTTTTCGTAATTTTTTATTAATACAAAATGTCAAAAGCCAGTCCTGAAGTATTAAACGTACTAAAATGTTTGGAATACCGGCCTGATTGCCAAGTCGTCTTTTTTATGTTTTTTATCAATGGTAACTTCTACCTCCAAGAATTATAATGAAAAAAGAAACATTGTTTATACACACTGTTTATATAAACAACGATCAGCGGCAACGGAGCTCACTTTAAATTTTAAACAATGACAGATTACGTGGTAACCATAGATACCGTCAACTCGTCACAGGTTTCTTAATACAAAATAATATTTAAAATTGTAGAATATGTTAAATATCTCTAAAATTATTAACTTTAGGTATAGAAAATAGTAACATCAATCGAAAGGTTTTTTAATTTACTATTTGATTAGGTATTGGTTGACACATTTAAAATAAAAAAATATATTAAACTTTTAATTTGCCTTGGGTTTTCTCAGGTGAATGTTAAATAATTGACATGGAATCTTTTAAACAATGTTTTAAGATTCCAAAAATTCCCACCTTATAATAACCGGATAAACCGGAAGTAGCATTTTCTTTAAAATATTTTAGAAAAATAGACTTAAATGGATTATAAACGCTTTTAAAATTTCAAATCCATATCTTTTTTCGTTCTCCAGAAACTTCTAATGGACTACGTATGTGAAACACCCTGCATGTATATTCATATATTTGTATATCTGTTTTCATAAATTTAAATTCAATAAATGATCTAAAAATGGGAAAATAATGTTTTTTGTGGTTCTTGGGTCTATTTAAATCTAAAATATCTCTAAAACAAGAGCTAACCTAAAAAAACAACTAACACCATTACATTCAGCGTACTTAAATTAGGTAATCCCCTTCGTGCCCCGCTTGTTAGATTTTTGAACTAGCACAGTGTATTTGTTGACCAATATTAAAATATTAAAAATGATTTTTTATACATAAGTTTATTTGATATTATCGAAAATTATTTTTGTTTATTATAATATTATGTTTTTTTTATCCACATAACTTACCACGCAGTAATAGCTACACCGCGGACGGTCGCTTCACGTCCTTTTGTGGCAAAAAAGGCGAATGCGCCGGGATTATTTAATTTATATAGAATAACTTGACTACAGCACCACCTATCGGATGGCAAAGCAATGAATCATCGTCCCGCCAAAACAAGTATATAGTGGGAATATTACCTCAATCGGTCAAGTCGTTCAGAAGTTACACGCAAAGATAATACAAGATCATAACAGACGCATGCGTCTATTATACAATCTGTTCACAGATTAAGTTACATTTTTGATTTATCATAAAAATTAACTCCTCATAAAATAATCGGTAAATTTTCACTTTAGCGACTTTTCCGAAAAACGGCAGGAAAGTTGCCAAAATGCCAAAAATAGGTGTGGAGGGATGTAAAAGTGCATAAACAATCGGCGCAGGGTGAAAAAGTTGTATACTTATCGCGTATTTAATAAAAAAAGGGGCTGATAATTGAAGTGACTGATTTTCTGTGAAAAAGAACATGCAGCGAGCCAAAAACACGTATCTAATAGACGTAGAATTTTAAAGTGGAAGTAAAAAAGCGTGAATTATGAAAAACAACGTCATGAATTGAGGAAAATGCAATTTTTAAAATCAGGTAATTTGAGGTTATGAAGATTAGCTGTCATCTTGGTTATGCAGGTACACTAAAATGGGCAAAGGTGAGCGAAACCAACCCAAACTTAACAACCCAACCCAACCGACCCCGCCCCATTGCCCCCCCCATTGCCCCCCCCATTGAGCAATAGAGGTATAATATATCTATGGGCAAGCTGGATTGTGAACCTGCATAACCTCAAATTACCTGATTTTAAAAATTGCATTTTCCGCAATTTATGACGTTGTTTTCCATAATTCAAGCTTTTTCACTTCACTTTCAAATTCTACGTCTATTAGATACGTGTTTTTGACTCGCTACATGCTCTTTTTCACAGAAAATCACTGTAAGTCACTTCAATTATCAGCCCCTTTTATTAATTACGTGATAATTATACAACTTTTTTACCCTGCGCCGATTGCTTATGCACTTTTACATCCCTCCACACGTATTTTTTGCATTTTGGCAACCCCCAATCCGTTTTTCGGAAAAGTCGCTAATGTGTAAATTTAATAAATAATCTGCTTGTCTTCAACTTTTACAGTTAATTTCCTACTTACATTTTTATAACAAATTTGGACAAAATTGTATTTTAAATTGGCATACAAGTAGGCAAATTAAATTTTTTAAACTTCACTGTGCAAAAACTTGTCCACTAAGAAGTTTAGACTAAGCTTACCAGAGGCGCTAATGTCGCCAAAGTTGTTTTTGTCACAGAGACTACCATTGTCATAATGACAGTTTTCATAATTAGACATGAAAGAGCTTGGCAAAAATAACTTAAATTTGTGAAGTCTTTATAACCTTTTACATTTGTATTGTGTATTCAATATAGTGGTTTATTCTTGTTGTTTACAAAAGTGCAAAAGCAGTGGAGATAGAGTAAAAATACATTGATTTCCCAAAAACGATAAGGTATGTCGAGCTGTTGTAGATCGAATTGGTCGAATGGGGAGGCGAGTTATTACTGTTACTGTGAACTGCATTTTGCATAACAGAATTGGATGCCGTTATAGAAGGTGAATGTTCTAAGTGATCATCCTCTCTGTCTCTATTCCTATCTTCTTCTACGAGACTTTTACTTTAAGAGCTTCAGCCACCTTAAGTAAAGCAGCAACTGATCCTGAGCAACATTTACTTCTCCTATGTACATGTACTCCAATATGGCTTTAATTTCACAATACTTTTAACACCACTACAGGGTGTTTGCAAGGCAAATCGGTAAATAAATTTTAAAAATAAGGAGAACATTCCTTAATAGGGCCACCTCCTTCATATGCCAAAGTTACGTCCGTAAAGGCTTCATTTTGCAAAAGTTCGTCAAACACTGTTAATAAATTTGAACGGTGATTGTTCCAACGCAAACAATATTGCTGCACCGCAAACAAGAAAAGATCCAATCAATATCTTTGTTATTATTTCTCCATTACCTATTTTAAAACGCGAAAACATTACAAAAACAAGTAACCATTAATAATAGTTAAGTAATTACGACGTAGTTTCTTTGGTTTTGGAAAATAACAAAAAATATGTTGATTCTCTAAGCACCAAGTTCGTTGTATTTTCTGATGAATCCACATTTACCATTGTCGATATTGGAGCAGTGGAAATCCACATTTTTTCATACCTACACGAAGACAATATTTAGTAGTAATTTAGTAGTAATTACTTCCATCAGGAAAAAACATTTAAAATAAGTATACAGAATATATCAGAATATATCAGAATTTTAGTAACGCGTGTCCTTTTCATTAGCATTGATTATAAGTTGGTAACGTCGAGGTATGCATTTATAAATGGGATTTCTTAGAAATTATTGAGGTCTCATGTGTGCTCGATCGGGTTAGGATCGGGACTCCGAAATTTCTTGGTCCCGAATAAAGTTTCTCGTAAGTTGCGCTGGGTGAACTATTAAATTATCTTATAGCAGAAATTCATAATCAGAATTGTTGTAAAACATGCTCTTGCACGATGGTATATACGTCTATCTCTGCTTTGGACTTGTCTGGAGTTGATTTGCTACGTAGCGCATAGAATGTCCATTCTCAACCAAAGCAACAGCCATCGCTGCTTTAATTTCATTAAGTGAACGAATTTTATACCCTGTTTCATACACTAGAAACATCAACAATTTATTTGAGCAGTGTATATTAAATATAATTTTATCTACGCCACCATTGATTAGCTGGGACTTTATGGCGTTTTAGTCACGGGCTGAAGTTTTGCTACAGTGGATTTTGCGCATTTTAGTCACGGGCTGAAGTTATCTTTAATACTAATTGGGAAAAAGTGAGGTTGAATCTGTTGACAGTTGACAAATAAAATTGGATTAAATTTCTTCTTTTTATTTGTCGTAGATAAAGTATAGTATTCAACTCGTTTTATAAACTTCTCTGGTCACTCGTTTTTATTAAACACTCGCTCGCAAGCTTCGCTTATGCCTAATAAAACTAAAATGACTTTTATAAAACTTGATACAAAATATTCTATTATATTGTAGTAATAATACCTAACTAGGTTATAATTGTACTTAATTATATAATAATAGTTATTTATGTCATTAGGCGCTGAGCGAAGCACGAAAAGACACTCAGCCGCATGGTATTTTATCTTGAAGTTTATAAAGGAAATTTATTACAAACACTTTAAACCATAGGTTTTGTAGCTTCTGTACTTTTGTTTTAACTTTATGAATGCGCAAAGCATGCTTTTAAAACACTAAATTTGGCTAAAAATAACCCTTTAAAATATCTAAATCTAAATTAAAAATTAAAAACACATAATAAGGTTAATTTAAAAAAATATTTAGATAAGCATTTAACTTAAATCTTTTCTTACATTTCTAATAAACACCAAAATGTTTAAGTAAGGTTTCTTTTATAAGTATACCAAAAATTAAATGGATAAACGTACACATGAAAAAGTTATAAATATTTATTTGTTGCGCAGCATAGCTAAATCGCGCTTACCTAGGATTTATATGCATCAGGGTGATTCAAAAAATCTTTTATTATTTTTTTGACCTATGATATATATATATATATATATATATATACAGGGTATTAAATCAAGATTTTAAAGGGGTGTCCCATTTATTCGAAAATACCCTGTACCTAAAATACTATATAATACTTTGTATCATGTATTTATGTACGTCGCTAATAAATTGTTTAAGTTGATTTGCCATTTTAGTTGTATAAATATCCGTTTAATATATGAAAGAACAACAATAATAAATAAGCATTTCCTTAAAAACTGTTTTACCTATTTATTTACTTTATCTGTAAATCTTGGTGTCTGTTTGCTCCTCATATATATATATATATATATATATATATATATATATGTATATATATATATATATAATTTTTGCAATTTTTTGTCGATATTTCCAAATAGGCACCTACCGTAGAAAATATAAAAAAATCTGATTCTTCTTTTAAAATGGATTATGAAACGCAGGAATTTAAAACACTGTATACAAGTGTACCATTTGTACATATAAATAATAATTTAAAACCTAATAAAACAAGTATAAATCCAAAGGATTTCTATAGGATAATATATTATCCTTTTTTAAGCTACGTACCTTGAAAAGCGATCCGTTAAACGGAAGCAGCTTATCGCACATTCCGACTTGTCCCTGTCCGCAAATATCCTGCTGCATGTCGTGTAACGCATGGGCCAGACTGTAAATGGCCTTTATCACGAAGCTCAGCTTTGAATCCTGACGATACTTGTCGGACAAGCTTTGGTCACCTGCAAAAGAAACAAGTTTAAACATGTTTATATTCAAAATTAGTCAAGTTTGGTTGGTGGTTGATATAAATTTAATTTTGCATTTTCTCTAAAAATGATAAAATTTTCGTGTTATAAGTGTTTTCATAAGAATCTGTTAAATGGAACTAACTATGGTCTTACTAACATCATCACATACTTCCACACATATACAAATCATTTCTAACTGAGAGTGTTTCCATTTCGTGGGGTTAAAGTAGGGGAAGTGAGAACCACACGGGTGATTGCATTGAGGCGCATGCGTGGCTGCATTGCCGGTTTAAAAAAATACCATATTTTTATCCCTATTTGGGAAGTACAATAAATACTTTTTTAATAAATTGTATATACAAGGTGTCCCTAAACTTATTGGCATAAATTTAGGAAAAGATTGAGTGAACACAGTGTCGTAGAAACGGGGGTTGCTTTAAGCTTATCGTCCCATACAAACTTTGAGGTTAGATTTTTAACATTTGATACAATTTTTCGATTACACAGTTCGTCTACCATTAAAAAGGTGTACCTCTCAAACTTAGATAAAACTAAAAACGGCATTCCATGAGCAGCGAGACTTTTTGCCCAGACCGTCACATTGTAGTTTTTTCAATTAAAAAATTTGTTATCATATACCTTTAATCCCATATAACAATTATTGTAATCTCGGATATCTCGGAAACGGTTTATTTTTTTTGATAGTAGCCGAACTGAGTAATCAAAAAATTGCATCAAATGGTATAAAAACCTAACCTGAAAGTTTGTATGGGACAATAAGCTTAATCAACCCCTGTTTCTACGACACTGCGTTCACTCGAACAATTGTAATTATGTGTGAATATGTGTTTAGGTAGCAAGTGACTGTTTGCAAAATATCACCTTTCCAAGTCTACCATAATAGAAGTTATATTAAAAAACTGATATGATAAGTAACACTTTATCACCCTGTATCTTTTAAACATACGCAATTAGGAAAAATATTGATTTAGATTTTCGTCTTATTTTGACTGACTTAATCTGCTCCTAAATTTATGCCACTAATTTTAGGGACACCTTGTATATTGTATGAATAAAAGTATTTAACAATAATAAACACACAAAATGATGATATTTTCGATTTTATAATGGCATGTTTATAACAGCAAGAATTTGGCAACATCTTATTTCGACCACGATAGCCAAAAGGTTCTTATCATAAACATATTAATATGTAGATGTTTTTTATAATTAACCATTTTGTTTCTGTTGTATACCAATTGGCATTCTTTTTTTTTCATTGTGTTTACGAGATTTTTAGTGGCTTTTACATAATATGTATATTATGCCACTTTTTGCTTTTTATAAAGCCAAACCACAGAAATTTATGTAAGCTTAACATATAGCCCAAGCAACAATTTAAGTATTTGTTACGTATATGGGACTATTGAAGAAACTTCAAAGTGTTTTGCGACAGTCGCCGGTCTCTTTATATTACTCTTTCATTACTACGTTACGACTAAAGTGGGGAACAATTATTGAGTTCCAAAAAATATGTCACTAGCTACCAACCCTGCTACTATTTGGGACGTAGCTGCTACGTTACTAGAACGTTCCAATATCGTTGCTAGAGCGTTATAATTACTTTTATTATTTGTTTTTAATTCTATATTAACTGTCTTTGTCAAACTTATATTAGATTATACTATCCCTCCTTTTTTAAATGGAACCACTACGGACTTGGCTTTTCAATGTCGTCGTTTATTAAATATGTACTGGTAGTTTATATCTTCCAGAATAACAATATAATGTTTAATTAGACAGGTAGATTTATAAACCCTTTAAATTTTACTGTTGAACTTATGAATTTAGTTTTTGTAAAATAAATGCGCTTCATCAATATTTAAGTATAAACAAATTATTTATTTAGTAATGTTTATAAATAAAAAAATCATAATATTTATTATTATTTTTTTTATTTAATTATTAATACCGTCTATTACCAACAATATTTCTATTTATAGTCGTTTTTTCGCGTAAATACCATGAAATACTATGGTTATTAAACTTAACCTTGGTTAATAGTTAAGGCATTTTTGCGTTTAGAGTGCGTTCAAAAATCCTAACTATGACGTCACAAATACCAGACCATAAAACTATATCGCTGAGCTAGTTATTCAACGTGGTTAATAGTCTTTCTCTTTTTAATATATATATTTAATATGTTTATGTAGGAATAATGTTGTGTGCTAAACATATCTTCTCCAAAACATACCGCCAACCTTCGTCTTTTTCTTTGGGGTTCCATTCTAAATTTTGAATTTCACAATAATAATTTTCGTATAAACGTTAAACACTGTTGGATTTTAGTTATGGTAAACAACAGTGAAGAACTGTTTATATATAAAAAGAGGTATAGAAAAGGTAGGTATAAGAACTAGGGTTCATAGAAAAAGAATATACAAGGTAAAAGAAGAGGCAAAGAAATTTATTTACACCTGTAAAAGCATAGAAATTAAATATAAATAGGTAAAAACACATTTCAAAAATTATAGGTTATGAACAAGTAAACAAATGTCAAATGTTAGAAACCTAACCATGGTTATATGAATTAACTGTGACGTCATGACTTATTTAACCGTAGTATTTCATAGTATTTACGCGAAAAAACGACTTATTAAAAAGTAAACAACCATTTACAAACAATTAAAATAATTTATTATTTACATTACCACGTGGTACTGTACAGTAAAAAATGGCCGATAAGAAGCATTTTCCTTTGAAGTAGTTTTCGCTACTTTAAAGTTTTTTTCCACTTTACGGTTGTTTTGGTTAGTACCATAAACGTTCCAAATACTAAAATAATAACTTTTAAGTTATTAACTTTGTAGTTTTTAACTCATGTTCCAGTTTCGAGATTTTAACTTGCAAAGGGACTACAAAGTAAAAATAATTATAATGTAATCTTTAGGTAGCAACCGAAAGTAACTGCTACAAATTTAATTTACTTGAAAGTTTTTTTTACTTATAACATCTTTTTTAAAGTTGCAAAGTCTTCTTGGGGGCAACCAAGTTTTACTTGAATGTTTATTACTTTATAGTAACAATTTAAGGAAAAATTAAGTTTCTGTTACAAAATATTGCTATTTAAAAGTTAGAATTACTTTTAAGTAAAAATTAAAGTAGCTGTTTAGTATACTTAACTAATTTAAAGTTATCACCACTTTGGCAATGGTTTTTGGAACCAAAAATGCTGCTTGGGAGGCGATGTAAGCAAATAATTTAGAAAATTTTGATATAACCTAAATTTTATTTAGGAGCATGGTACATATTATGTACCTACCATGCTCCACACGTGACTACGTACGGAACGCACGAGGCGTTAAAATCCGAAATGTATTCCATCTCACCGCAACGAATTGTAATCTAGAGTCCCGTCAGACGTTTCTCTATTGCGCTCCCGTTAACAGAGTGACGTCATCCAATGACGCAATCTTAGGACGGTAAGCAGATCTTTTTTCCTTAACCAACGTCCCGAGTCCGCCCGCTTCGAAACCAACCCAAACCCAACAACACAACCCAACCGACCCCGCCCCATTGGCCCCCCCCCGCCCCATTGAGTAAAAATATATTATATAACTAGCAAAATGATTATGAGGAAAGGTAAATAAATTAAAATATTAATGTAAAATTAAATATAAATGCTTTTAAGGCCACATTGTATTATTTCGGTATATAAATTCTTTAAAAAAAAATTAAAAAAAGTTGTAGAGGCGCCAAGTATCGAACCCAGTATCTCTCGCATGCAAAGCAGGCGCCCTTCCATCGAGCTACCGAGCTTATTGTAATAATCCTATCGCTCGAAAAATAATACCGATTTACAGTGTGTGACGTCACAAAGTGGAATACATTTCGGATTTTAACGCCTCGTACGGAACGCAGTCTTTTGAAAATTTGGCATTTAAGCAGTGGCGGATTTACACATTTTCAAGGTATAGGCTGAATAGTTTTTGCCGCCGTTGCCTCAACAAATGTCATATCATACATTATTTTTACAATGCAACAATTTCGTTGAAATTGCACGTAAAATAATTTTTCGGTATATTTTTGAGCTAATCGAAGCTCAATCAGGTATGCTATTTACACAATAATGAACATTTGGTAAACGTGAATAAATAATCTTTATTGCGCTTTTAAACAGTTAAAAATAATCGACTCAGTCATATTTTTTACAATTTCGCTCTTTTCACTCATAAGAAGTGTGGGAAAAATCGCCAAAATTGTCTCACGTAATTAATGAACGGCCCCTTACTGGTTGAGGGGCGGCGAACTAGCTGTTTTACTCTAGAATATGAAAGTTTGCTACTCTCGGAATGTGCAATGACAAGTGAGAGAGAAAAGTCATCGACAAAATTTGTTGCAGACTTCTATCTGTAAGACATCAGAAAACCGTCATAGAAAAATCTTTTTGATTTCTATGAGGTAAAAAAAATCGTTCCCCAAATTTGCCGCCCCCAAAATCTGCCGCTCTAGGCTCGAGCCTACTCAGCCTGCTGGTAAATCCGCCACTGCATTTAAGGCTTTTCAGGTTATGTATCTGTCAAAGTATAGTCAAAAGAAATAATATTTATACTTGTACCGCTTATGTTTAAGCGTTAAAAATGTATGAATTTTTATAGTATCAGAATAACAATGGTTGGTTAAAGAATTTTAGAATATAAATACTGCATTTAATGAAATTCTAGGCTTTAAGCCTCGTATAGACTTGAGCATTGAGCCGAACAACAAGCCGAACAACGAACCGAACGGCAAACAGAACGGCAAATGGCCTTTTTTGATTTCGAATAAGACTATCTGTATCAAAGGTAGGTTAATAAATTATAACATCTAATTTTCTAATTTTAAAACCGTAAATTGTTTTTACACGAATGTTTTTGGAAATTCAGAAGTTAAAGTTTTTTACACTTATCCTGTTAATACAATTACTTAAGTACCTATAAAAGCTTCGACAG